GAATAAGAGGATCTAACTCCAGGGAGACAGAGATGACAAGGCAGCTAAGGAAAGCCTGAAGAGGAACAGCTGGGCTAAATGAACAATGGAGACCCTGAACTTTCCCATGTATCCACTTCCCTATATATACCATACCCTATATAAGAGGCCAGGTAAGGAAACTGAGGCTTGGGAGGGGATCAGAATCAGGGTATCAGTGTACTTAGAGGAAGAAATCTTGAAAGGAGGGGCAAGAGCTTTATGCTCCTGTGTAACCTTGAGCAAATCCCTTCCCTGTTAAGGGCCTCAGTTTCCCCATTTAGTTTCCCCATTTAGAAGTTTCCCCATTTAGAAATGGGACACTGAACTAGGGGTCTGCTTGCCCCAGGCTGTGTGAGAAGCTGGGAGAAGAGTAGTTCTGTGCCCAGTTTTCTAGTGGCTGCAGAAAGAGGAGACATGATGGGGCCATGTGATTTTGGGGGTCCTAGGCTTCAGTGGGAGGCCTGAATGCCTTAATGGTTGGGCTCAGTATACCACTGCACTACAGCCCAGCCTCACTCCTCATGCCTCCATCCAGAGAACACTGCCCAACACTTTATTTTTTCAAAATGCGCTAGGCCTGGTCTGCAAATATGTCCTATATGTCCAGAGGGGAGGGAAAACAGAACTGGCCCAGCCCTCTCTCCCCTGAGCAGCAGGGAGGGCTGAAGAGCTCTGCCTGGAGAAGTTGGATTAGTATCTGCTTGGGGAAAAAACAAACAAACAAAAACTGTAGGAGATGAAAGCACTGAAGGCTCTGCAATAAGAACTGCAGATCAAAAGGTCCAAAATGCCCCTGCAGCACCAGTATGCCTACCTCTGCTGCCACCAAGGCCTCTCATATTATTTTCTTCATTGTCCATAATTATCCCCTAATCCCAAAAGAGGAGGTGTGGAAAAGCAATGCACCCTCCCTTAGCGGGCACCTCCTCAGTGGTTTTGGTTTCCTTAACTTTCTTCCTGGAGGTACACTTACACATACACAGGTTTGAAAAATAAGACCAAGGAGAGAAGAACAAGACCAAGGCAATTATTTAATTCAGAGAACAGTAGTTGGGAGTGGGGAGAGACAGTTTAATGCCCATGAAATCTTCAGGGGTTTGTTAAGCAGGAACAATGATAGCCAGCTGCCCCCAACCTCACCCCCCAACACACACACACACACACACACACACACACTCATGCATGCACACACACGTGCAAGCATACAAGGTTTATATACAGCATGAGAGGCTCAGCTTAGCCCTGAGAAAGAACTTCCTGGCAGTGTGAGATGTGTGGCCAAGGAATGAGTGACACAGGGAGGAAATGCCTCCTCTGGAGGCTTTATCTTTATCACCTAGTTTATCTGCCTGGATTGAATTAAAGCAGGGGAACTGATGAAATAACACTGGGCATGCCCTCTTCTAGCCTCAAGTAGCCAATCTGAAAGTGAGGGGTCTGGAAGCCCCCTTTCCCTCTTTGTTTCTACAAGCAAGCCAGTGACCTGTCAGGCTTGCTGTTTTTTATTTCCTTATTCCCCTGCACCAGCGGAGCAGGGCTGTCCCCACACCTCATACACACACTTTCAGCCAGTGTAAATATAAGTTTTTGAGGAATTGTTAACCCTTCCACTATATTAAGAGAGAATGTTTGGACTTCCAACTTCTTCCAACTACCTCCCCTCCTTCAGAAACTTTCAGCCCCCAACAGGCTGCAGACTAAGACCAAGAAGCAAAATAGACATGAAAGGGAAAGCAGAGTTCTCCAGATGGGGCCCCCAACCTAAACCCAGCACCTCTCTCTTGAGGAATGGAAGAGGTGAGGAAGGTTAGAGATTGCTTAGTAAGATTTGTATCGAACAGGGGCCATTGGAGACAGTGGGATACAGTGAAAGAGTTCTTGCACAGGAGGCAGCAGCCCATCCCCAAATGCTGTGTGACCGTAAGGAAGTCCCTGTTGCTTTCCAAGACTGTTTTTCCATCTTGTAAGCACAGGAGCCCAAACTGGTGCTCTCTGAAGGCCTGTCCAGTTGGAAGGATGGGGATCAGCAAAGGCCTGGGGAATACTTAGCCTCTACCACATTGGTATGTAGTTACTCTAGGCACCCTCCTTCAATTTCACTCCCCCAAAATGCTTAAAGGAAGTCAACATGGTACAACTTCCCTCCAGTTCTATGTCCAGATCCAAAGGTGACTTCTTACAGTTCCACCTTATAACATGCTTTCCAATCGTGAAGACCCCTTTCTAAAATCCCATATTATTATGGCATATTTTTACCCACACATAGAAGTATCAAAACCTCCCAGTTTTCCATTCTTCAATGGCTCCTTCTCCCATTCTCCCATGGCTCCTTCTCCCATTCTCCCAAGATCAGATGCCCATTCCACAGCCTCGCATTTGAGGATCCCTACCACTGGGCACCAACCTCCTCTCTACCTTAAATCCAACAATCTCAACCAGAAAAGACTAAGTCACATCTCTCAGCCTGGCTGCCAACAACCCCCTCGCATTCCTAATTTTGCTTATGCCACTACTATGCCTAGCCAAACCCCTCTACTCTCTGGAAGTTTCCAGGGTAATCACCCTGCATATACAGATTTCTCCTCTCTCTCCATAGTAGTTTTTCTCGAGGTTCATGAATTAGCAACAAAAGATATGTGTAGTCTGAGGCCTGGGTAGTACAGATCTTGAGATTGTTGTTAAAGGGAGACATGATTTATTTTTTTTTTCTTGTGGTTGCAACCCATCACCCTTCTCCATTCTCACTGGGCATACTCAGTAAATATCTGAGCATTGAGTATCATTTCCCTAAGCACTTTCATATGGATCAGGACAAGTGCAACTTGGAGAGATAAAGGTCTTCTTGAAAGCTCCACAAAGACAGCAAGTCTTTCTAGAGCATTCAAGAACTGCTATGCATTGCTAGGCTTTGAGGGGGTTGTGGCTGAGTTCAAGGTTTCATTTACCCCTTGGAGGGGTTCTGAAAGAACCTAGACATCCATGATATCAGGGAGACAAAGTAGAGGCAGGGAAACTTATAGTTTGCCTCCTATTATAATTTAAGCCCCCAAATAGCCAAGGGATGCAGGAAAGCCTGTAGGAGTTCTGAGCAAGAAGAGGTCATTATGGGTTGAAAGAGACAGGCAGAAAAGACACTCAGGAGAAAGTGGGCCCAGAGCTGGGACCTAAGAGGGAAAAAGATTTTGCACAGTGTGGGTAAGTGGATTTGGGTGTGAGGAGGGGAGTTATACAGAGAAGATATAATAGGTGGCTGTTGGTTTGAGGCAGGGCAGAGAGCAGGTCCAGCCCTGTGCTGGAGATACCCAGCTGCAAATAGAGGGTTGGTTTCCTTTGGTGCCTGGTCAAAGTGGCAAGAAGTGACTATAGTGTATTATCTGCAGTCCTGGCTGGTGTCACAAAGGTCCTCAGCTAGCTTTCCCCCAACTGAGGGATTTACTCCTCTCAAACACCCCGGTTTTGCAGCCCACAGGGTTCTCCACCCTCAGAGGCTGGTCAAAGGTCCAAGAAGAGCTTGCCAGGCCCCTTGGTCACTCCCTCTCTCCTGTTCTTTGGAAAAGCCTAGAGTTTATTGCCAGAGGCAAACCATGGTGCAGTGACTGAGCAGTGGTGGGTGGAGCTGCACTGGGTAGGGGGGAGAGGGCTCTGCTAAATGCCCTCAGCTAGGGCAGGGAGTCCAACAGCACAGTGCCCTCCACCTAGTCCATGCCCATGACTATGCGGCAGGCTGGCAGAGCCACAGAGGGAAATGTTTGTGTGTAGAAGGAGGCTCCCCTTGACCCTGTGGGCTGTGACAAGATGAGACTGACCAACCAAGGCCAGCTCTGCGGGGCCAGTGCAGTTGCTACCTGGGCACCTGGACTGTGGAGCGCATGGAGGGCACAGCCCCTCTTCACCAGGGCACTTGGGCAAAGTCCTGCAGTCAGGTGGTCACCAGTGTCAGAGGTATCTGCAGTAGACAATGACAGCGGCTCAGCAGGCTGTGTATTTTAAGTAACTGCGAAGTTGGAGGGTTTGGCTGTCTCTGTAGCTCTCTCACACAGACCCAGAGGGTGCGTTCTCTACTACAATAATTGCTCCCTTGGCCTCTGGCACAGAAATTACCCCCCCCCCAACATGATGCTTATCGCTATTTTTAAACGGGAGGCGGGAGAGAAAAAAGCGGCCAGAGCTCTGCAAGGGGAGATGAGGCGAGGTGAGTGGGGACAAAGCGGCCTTGCAGATCTAACCCAAGTACTAGATTGAGCTGCAGCTCTAAACTAAGGTCCAGCAAGAACTCCGTTGCCAGCCCGCCTATCCGCGGGGGCGGGCGCCAGATGTGCCTGGAGGCCCAGGAGCAGGGGGTGCGGCTGGTTGGGGCCCACAAGGCCGAGGTTCCTAAGTGGGCAGCCGACAGGCCCAACTCAGCTCCCTGAGAGAGGAGGCAGACAGTGTGGCTAGCCCAATCCATGTCAAAGCCAGTATCCATTGGGCCCAGGCCAGCGCGCGGGCTCCAACCGCAGAGGGGAGAAGGAGGCAGGGGATGCGCAGGGGAGGGAAGGGGAGGCAGCTGGGCCGCTGGCGTGAGCAATACCCACGTAACACAGCTGTTCCAGCTAATGTGCTACAACAAAGCTGTGGAGCTCCCGGCCTACAAATACACCGCTGGGGGTGTTGGCTCGTGGCTCCCCTCCCGGGTCAGTGCTGTAGCACGTGTGGGCCCCATCCCCGCCTCCCCCGAGAGCCTGGAGGCATGGCCCAGGCTAGCCTGCTTGCCTGCCCGCCCTCTGTACCCGCTCTAGCCGCGGTCGCCCGCGCCCAGGGGACTCTGCTTTGCCCCTCACCAGCCAGTCCTCAACGCGGGTTCCCAGGGGGAACGGAGAGCGGCCTGGATGTCCACTGGCCCAGCCCTTGAAGCCCCTCTTCAGGCGGCCAGAGCGGAGCACGCGGGATTGCACCGGACGGCCGGCAGGCGGAGGCTCCCGGCTGCGCACAACGCTTACCCCGCCGTGTCGGGTTTCCAGCCCGGTTATTGTCTGCTACGCCGCCCTGGCCAGGGCTCGAGCCTAGGCTGCTGAGGCTGAAATCACCGCCACCGCTGCTCCCGCCGCCGCCGCCGCCGCCGCCGCCGCCACCACAGCTCCAGTCACCTCCTGCACTGGGTCCCCTTCCCCAGGCTCGGGGGAGCTCCCCCATATCCCCTCGCAATGGACTCCACAGCCACAGGGTGGGGCGTCAGCGCCCTGATTGGCAGGAGTTTGGCCCAATCGCAACAGTGGGAAGGCGTGTCCCCCTCCGCCCACTGTTTTCCTTGGTGCAGTGCCCTTTAAATGCAAATAAGCGCGGGCGTGGTGTTTGCTGGGGGGCGGAGAGGGTGAAGAACCCCTTGCCAGGACTCCCCATTCCCACCCCCAACACTGGGCGGTTTGTGGCTGGGCGACCCAGTGAGCTCGCTGGGCCGGTCCCGCCCGGATGGGGCTCGCTGGAGCCCTGGAGTTCGGTTTCGGTTTTACATGCACTCCCATTTCCGTGGACGCTGTGCAATCGTGCTGAGGCGCCCTGGCCGCCACCCGGCAGTTTATTCCAGAGCGACAGGCGGGCAAGGAGAGGCGGGGAGGAGAGGCTGGGGAACCTGGGGGACTGCAAAGCCCCTTGGCGCCTCGCTGGGCCAACCTTAGTTGTAGAGATAGGGCTCCCCCGCGCGTGCCGCCAGGTTGTTCAGAGGGATTACTTACCTGCCAGGAAAGCCAGTTGCAGCGTACATGCCCCAGCTTTGGCCTCTCAGGCGCACCAGGGCCCTTAGGGACAATTGAGGTCAGTTTGCACCCATTACCCAAGGGCCTGCTGTTGCTCAGAGAAGGGAAAGCGTTTCCCTGAGGTCACCTAACCTGCCAGCGACGGGGGTGGATCTGGAATTCAGAACCCCAGGCTACTAACCTAGGCTGCTCTCATTTTTCTCTGGAGAGACCTGTTCCTGTAGTTTGACACTCACCCAAATTTCACACCTTTCATGGAACAAGAGGGGATCTCCAAGGCCTCTAGAGGACCCCACAAACTTCTCATGGTAAGCCAGGCTTTGTGCAGTTCCCTGTCCCTGAAAAGTCTAGAAATTGAGAGAAAATTCTTATCTGGGCCCTTACTGGAGGTCAAGGCTGAAGATAAAGTGAGGAGGCCTGTACCAACATTGCTGGCTTCTGTGTTTGGGATGTGGCTGGTGACCAGCCCCAGCTTGGGTCTTAACTAGCCTGAGGGCAGTAAGTGACTGCCAAGGACTAACTAGTGAGCTGAGGCAATAAAGAATCCAGTTCTACCACTAGCTCAAGAACATCCAGAAGGAGCTACCCCTAAAACTCAGAATATCGAAAAGGGTGGGGGGATTAAAGTTGAGCAGAGGAAAGATTAGAGAACAATGCCTGCTATTTTTGCATTTCAGAAGGAGTATTCACTCTTGCTCTACAGGGTCCTATCTGCCTTTGAAAAGATCCAGCAGCTAGACAGGACAGAGGAGGACTGTTGCCTCTGCTGTGTGTGGAGCACAGGAACTGACATGGCTTGCCCCTGCTGGGCTCTGGCTCCAGCTCTACCTCAGATTTGCTGTATGACCTTGGCTAATCCATTTTCCTCTCTGGGACAGTCTATCACCTAATCTCCGCAAGCAGGGTATAAGGTATAAGCTCCTTGATCTTTTCCAACTCTGATCGTTGAAATCAGTTATTTCTCTAATATTCCATGATGTTCTATGACCTTCCATGACATTCTATACATCTCCAACAAAAAAGAGCAACTTGAACATCAGACCTCCTATTCCCAGGTCCTGGGTCTAGGTAAATGGCAGGTAGTAAGGAGCCACTGGCTCATTGTGTGACTTTGCTGGGCAACTACTTTCTCCTCCCTAGCCTTCATTTCCCCCATCTGGATGGCTGAACCATAGTATTTCCTCGGAGCTGTGCTTTCCTGCTTTGCAAATGCAAAGTCCTGATTCTCATTTGTTGGACCTGTTTTGTTGGACCTGATTTGGAAGTGACCTTTTTCAGGTGCCTCTTCCATATGCTTCTGCAACTGCCTTGTGCCTCTGGTTGCCTGCCATTTGTTTGTGTTTCACCTAGAACCCTGATTCTCTGAAGTAGGCCAAATATTACAATTTGAAGAAGACAGCTTCCAAATCCCAGAGCCCAGAGAAAAACAGGGCAGAGCAGTCTCCACTACCTCTCTCCATAGGGAGAGAGGAACTGTGCAAAACAGTCAAGTGGTGGGCTTGAATAATGGTGAGACAAGGAGGTACTCCTGTGCTACTCCTGTCACAGAAGCTAGTTCTCTATGTCCTCTTCCCAGCGGCCAAACATTCCATTATATCAGTTAGCCTTGGGATGGACAGATATTGAACACTGGCCTGGGTCCAAAAGATATAGGGTTTTAGAAAAACAAAAGTAGTATTTGACATGCTAATGAAGTCCTCCAGCTGTGTGCCCTTCTTGGTCCTGATATTTCTAAGTCTCAGGGTGAGATTGTGTATGTGTATATTAAGGAAGAAGGGGGGGTGGCACAAATCCTGATTTGTATGGTCCACTCTTCTCCGGGACAGTGTATGGAAACTACAAGTGTGGGCATAAACTTGTACCTCAAAATGCCTTCTCAAAGAGGAAGTCTTCCAGGCCCCCCTTCCACATGCTGACTGACACATGGTCAACTTGTTTGATCACTATAGGGGCTAGTCATCAGAGAGCAAGAATACTTTCTTAAGTTTCTTCACTAACAAAATAGAGATAATACCTCTGCTGCTTGGTGATATGTGGTGGCAGTAAAAAGCTTATGAGAAGAGATGTGCAGGCTGTATGGAGGCAATTTCATAAACTTAGGTAGACAGCCTAGTCCACATGAATACGGTGCTTCTAAATGCTCCATGGGTACCTCCTCTATGCCAGGCCTGGTGATAGGCATTGGGAAGAGGGGGTACATTGGTAACATTCTGGGAGAATGGGCACTCAGTGGATGGAGTTCCTAGAGGAGCTGAATGCTAGACTAGAAGTCTGACAAAAGTGATCTGGAGCATTGTAGATGAAGAGCTTCCTTCCCCCCAGGGTGGGAAGGGGCATCAGAGAAAAGTTCCCTGGAGGGATGACCTTAATGATTATGTCAAGTCAGAAAAGTAGGGAAAGGATTCTTGCCCAGTCCAAAGCCCATCAGTGTGAGAGGGTGTAGTAGGTTGGGCAAGAGCTATGATTCTGGACTCCTGGGGCTGGTGCATATGGATATAGGGGGAGAGAAAGTATTTGTATGGGGGAGAGAAAAAACTGAAAATTAGGACTAAAAAAGATAGGTCTGGGGCCAAAGTGTGTAAGACCATGATTGTCTGGCTAAAAGACTGAGGCTCAGCTAGCTAAGTTTGTCCTTCTCAGAGAAGCAAGCAGAATAGTGTAGTGACTTTGCTACCAGACCACCTGGGCTAAGATGCTGGCTCCATCCCTTAGGAGTGGTGTGACCTCAGCAAGTTATTCTACCTCTCTGCATCTTAGTTTTCTCTTCTGCAAAATGGGAATAATAATAGTACCCATGTCACAGAACTGGGGTAAGAATTAAGTATTTCATTTAAGTATTTCTCACAGCGCCTGATACATCCAAAGCCCTAAATAAATGCTAGTTACTGTTGCTGTTATTATTATTGTTAGTCTCCTGATCCAATGTATAGATCTTCATAGTTATAGAACTTATATGACTTTGAAACCATTTTTTGATATAAACACACATGAGTCTATGATCTCTTATACACAAATTTCTTTTTTTTTAAATTTTATTTATTTGAGAGAAAGAGAGAGAGCTTGTGAGCAAGGGAGGGAGGGGCAGAAGGAGAGGGAGAAGCAGACTCTCCGCTGAGCACAGAGCCCAACACAGGGCCTGATCCCAGGTCCCTGAGATCAAGACCTGAGCCAAAAGCAGATGCCTAACCGACTGAGACATGTAGGTGCCCCCACAAGTTTCTCTTGATTGTACAGAGCCAGACCAAATTTCCCATCTTTGTATCCTTAGCACCCGACAGAGAGTTTAGCACAAACTTAATGCTTACCATAAGTTTGTTGAACATAGTCAAATGAGGCATCTTCAGATCTAATATTAAACTTAGTTGCCAGCATCCACCAGAATGATGTTACCACTCTCTGAGCACTGCTGTGTCAGGCTCTGTATTTAGTGCCACACCCTTAATGGTGAACTAGACACAGATTCTGGCCTTAGGGCAGCCAGTGTCATGGAGAAGGTACATAACCCATCAGACCAATGCCCTGCAGATTCTCACTTAGGCAAGGCACTGGATGTTGTTGCCATCTACTGAACTGAGAAATACAGGAACAAGATTAAGGAAAATGCAACAACATGAATGGAACTAGACTGTATTATGCTAAGTGAAATAAGTCAGTCAGAAAATGTAATGATTCTATTTAGGACATTCTATATTTGACTTGTCTTAAATCCCACCTCCAGGGCTTTGTACTTGCTGTTCCCACTGCCTACAGTGTTTGTCCTCTGAATACTAACATAGTTTGGGTCTCATTTCCTTCATATGTCTGCTCAAATGACATCTTATTAGTGAGACCTTCCCTGGACACTTAAATATAAAATAGCAATCCCCATTTCTACCCCCTTTACTCTCCAATCCCTTAACTGACATTTTTCTTTTTTTTTAATTTTTTTAATCATTTTTTAAATTTATTTTCAGCATAACAGTATTCATTGTTTTTGTACCACACCCAGTGCTCCATGCAATCTGTGCCCTCTCTAATACCCACCACCTGGTTCCCCCAACCTCCCACCCCCCCACCTCTTCAAACCCTTCAGATTGTTTTTCAAAGTCCATAGTCTCTCATTGTTCACCTCCCCTTCCAATTTCTCCCAACTCCCTTTTTCTTACCCATAACATATATCACTTCCTGGCATATGAGTTTTTATTGTTATTTATTTTTGTCAATTTTTATTTTTTATTTTTTCCAAGTAGGAAAAAGGGCTAAGCTCTGAAGCAGGCACTTTATTAATAAGAAATTCATTTTTTTTTCTTTTTTCTAATT